TTCACAAAACTAATTTTATAAAAAATTGATCTCCTCTTCTTGTAAAACAATCTTCACAAAACTAATTTTATAAACAAACACTTAAAACAAACTAAAACTCTTTTTAAACTTGTTCAAAACTAATTTTATAAACAAACACTTAAAACAAACTAAAACTCTTTTTAAACTTGTTTTAAAACTTCTTTTCATAGTTCAGAAGTGAAATGGTATAGGGTATATATAGGATGAAAAAACAAAGCTCAAAACCCAAATGAAATCCAGTAAAATGACAAAAAACAGAAACTGGAAAAATAACCGTTATAGACCATCAGTCGACTGATAGGTTTCATCAGTTGACTGATGAGCTGACCGTTAGAGGTATTTTCTAGCTCATCAGTCGACTGGCCTTATTAGTCGACTGATGATCTCATCAGTCGACTGGTTAGACGACCAAAATAAAACAAAAACTTTTGGCATTCCAAGTGATTTCTTCAGTCGACTCATCAGTCCATTGATGTCATCAGTCGACTGACCAGTCGACTGATAACCGGTTATCAGCCTGTTTAGAGCAGAAATCTGATTTTCAAACTGCCTTTTAAAAGTAGTAAACAAATTCTAAAAATTATGAAACTTTGGAAAATGATTGTAGACATGATAATACACATGCTACAAAAACTAATTTTCAAAAAGCATCTCCCAAATGTGAAATCTCATCATTTTGCAAAATCGTATAAGTATGAACATGTTAAAAACTTGATTTTTCAAAAATGACTTAAACAAAACTTTGAAACACTTTAGAATAGATTTATAGACTTATACAAGATATGAAAATAGTGTAAGTAAGTCTTTAATCCATAAACATAATATTTTACAAATTCAATAGAATATGAAGCATATAAATGTGAAAATGAAGATATATATTGCTTCATATCTATATAGTTAAACCAAAACAACTTATCCACATAGAAAACAAATAAGTATTATATATCTATTTGTTTGTAAAAACTTTTGTGGATAAAACACATAAACTATTAAATTATGTGTGTATAATATTAAGCTTAAGATATTAACACACAAAGTATAAACTCTAAACTAATTTACCCAAGCTTGATAGGTCTTCAATATGCTTGACTTGGTTACGGATGAAGCTTGATCTTGAATATGACTTGATGTGCAATGGCCTTATTTCACTATTCTGCCAACCTTCATTTGATGTGATCGTGTAGGCTCAATCCATCCAACCTCCAACTTATTATTTGTCTAAAATACCTGATAAGGAAACATAAACACTAGACAAATAATATTAGGAATTGTTTGTAATCATCAAAATAAGATTAGAAGATGTAAGCTCATAACATGAGACCTAACATAGGACACAGAAGAAATTAAAGACATTAAGATCTAACAACGTACAGAGTATACAGATGGTGCTTTTAAGGAGTTCTGTGATCAGGAGGACATTGCTCGATATTAGACAGTTAGATCTACAGCACATCAGAATGGAGTTGCAGAGAGACTGAATCGTACATTGCGAGAAAGCAATGAGTATGTGATCACATGCTAGTTTGGGCAAAGAATGATGGGCAGAAGCAGTTGCTATAGCTTGTTACTAGTGAACCGTTCTCCACATTCGACATTGGATGATGATGTACCCTATCGGGTATGGTCAAGGGAGCATGCAGATTATGATAGGCTTAGGATTTTCAGATGTACTACCTACTTTCACATCAACGAGGGAAAGCTTGATGCGAGGGCCAAGAAGGTAATATTCTTGGGGTATGCAAAGGGCGTAAAAGGCTATCACCTTTGGTGTACAGAAGATTCTAAGTTCGTGATCAGCAGAGATGTTACCTTTGATGAGAAAACCATGATTGCCAGGGCATCCAAGAACACTGGTGTTTGGATTGTTGGGACTTTAAAGTCCCAGGTGATTGAAATAGAATCTAAAGACCAACCAGGTTCTAGTCATGTTCAAGAGGAGGATCATGAAGATGATGAGCTTGAACATGAGGAGGTTCAGCAAGAAAATATACAAGTATTACAACAACAACAGCTCGAAGATAGTTTGGCTTCCACTAGGCTAAGACAAGCATACAAGAAGGTTCAGAATCAAGGGTCAGATCAGGATCTGAAGCACTATGGGCAGGTAAATTTGATTGAGTACGTACTCTCGATGGAGGATGATGAGTCGGTCACCTTCAAAGAAGCTATTAGGGATAGGAATAGTGAGAGTTAGTTGGCTGCAATAGAGGAAGAGATGGAATCTCTCCGGAAGAACTAAACATGGGAAGTGGACTCATTGCCCGTAGGGAAGAAAGATATTGGTTGTAAGTGGGTGTACAAGAGAAAGAAGGATCCTTCCGAACTCAACAGTACAAGGAACAAGGCTAAGCTAGTGGCTAAGTGGTTTGCACAACGAGACGGTGTGGATTACAATGAGATTTTTTCTCCGGTGGTGAAACACACTTCTATCCGGGTGCTATTGAGTATTGTTGCTCATGATGATCTTGAGCCGGAATAACTCGATGTCAAAATGACCTTCTTGCACGGAGACTTGGATGAGCAAATCTATATGCACGAGCCTGAGGGTTACAAGGTTGAGGATAAGGAGCATCAGGTATGTCGCTTGAGAAAATCACTTTATGGATTGAAACAATCTCCTCGGTAGTGATACAAGTGATTTGACTCCTTCATGCTAAAGCATGGGTTCTTCAGAAGCGATTATGACTGCTGTGTCTATATTCGGAAGCTTCGTGGAGGTGATTATATTTATCTTCTTTTGTATATGGATGACATGCTTATTGCTTCGAGAAGCAAGGTGGAGATAGATAGGCTAAAATCTCAACTTGATAAAGAGTTCGAGATGAAGGACATGGACGCTGCTAAGAAGATACTGGGTATGGAGATCAGAAGAGAGCGGGTGAATCGACGATTGTTCTCGAGTCAGAAGGGCTACATTGAGCGGGTTATCGCTAGGTTTGGGATGCAGAGTGCTAAGTCGGTGGTGACTCGATTGGTCCCACATATCAAGCTCTCACGTAAATAATTTCGCCCACTATAGCGGAAGAGAAGGCGCACATGGAGTATGTACCTTATGCTAGTGCAGTTGGTAGTTTAATATACTCAATGGTGTGTACACGTCCAGATATTTTACAAGCGGTCAGTGTTGTCAGTAGGTTTATGTCGAATCCGGGAAAGGCACATTAGGAAGCAATAAAATGGGTCTTGAGGTACTTGAAGGGTACCGCTGATATGGGTTTGTATTTTGATGGAGATACATGTCAGATTGATGGGTTTGTGGATTCAGATTATGCGGACAATCTAGATAGACGATGATCTACTACTGATTATGTATTCAGAATATATGGTGCTCCAGTTAGTTGGCGATCGATATTACAGGCTACAGTGACACTTTCTACTACAGAGGCTGAGTACATGGTCATGGCTGAAGGAGTGAAGGAAGCATTGTGGTTGTGGAGTCTTCTAGATGATTTGGAGATTGTGAAGGATTGCGTGAACTTGTGGTACGATAGTCAGAGTGTAATTCATTTGGCTAAGAATCAAGTTCATCATGCTCGTACCAAGAATATCGACGTCAGGTATCATTTTTTGTAGGATGTTATAGAGGAATGTGATATTTCTCTCATGAAAGTGCACACAACTGAGAACCTAGCAGACATGTTGACCAAGGTGGTGACAGATAGCAAGTTTTAATATTGCTTGGACTTGCTTAATATCAGCCCGTGTTGATCTGCCCAATAGGGCAGTGTGCAGAACTACGATTAGCTTGATCCCGGTTAGAGGGTATGTAGGCAGTCATGGTATAATGGTGCAGCTAGTTTAGCCTGGTTTTGGTCTGGTTGGTGTTCGCGGTGTTCTTCTGGTGATCGTCCAAAATTTAAGGTTTATCAAATGATGAACGAGGTGGAGAATTGAAGAACGCACCTGCGTGAAGAGGCAAGGGCGAGCAGGCGCCTGAGAACGAACATCACCCAAAGGAGGATACTCGCCTGAATCTTGGGAGGCGAGGACGAGCTCGCCTGTAGGCGAGGGCTGGACATGCGAAGGTGGGGCGGCAGAGCTCACCTGTTTCGTCGCCTTATGGTTGAGGCCAGCTGTAGGCCAGCTGGAGCCAACAGAGCTAGAGGAGATCTAGGGTTTCCCTATAAAAGGGAAACCCTATTCACGAGTTCCCTCTGAGCAGCTCTCATCTCGCGATTTTAAAGAGAGGGGTTTTTTGTAGAGCTGGCAGCTCTTCTCAAGAGTTTTGAGAAGTCTGTAGCAGCGATTTGAGAAGAGAAATTGAGCAGTGATATTAGATTAAAATCACACGCGGTATTTTGAGAGATCTCAAGTTTGAGATCCTCTCTGTTTCAAACTTTGTAATTTCTTGTGGTTAAATAAGAAATTAATTATACGACTCTCGTGGATGTAGGCAAGTTTGCCGAACCACGTAAATTTGTTGTCTCGTCTCATTTACTTATTGTTTTATCTGTGTATCTGCTATTGTCTGTGTTGGTTGTTCTCTCTGGGTGATTTAGCTTCCGCAAGCAGTCAAGTGGGCGTACCTAGCTCCCAACAACTCTAGTTAGCAAATTTTTGAGCATTTTACCGGTTTACTAAAAAGACATTGCGCCCCAAAGTTTTTGGTTGAGAGACTGATCAGTTCTACGGCTGGCTTTTTAATAGACTCAAATTGAGAGTCTACTGTTTATAATGAGATTGTAGATACCGCTAGAGCTAAGCTGGAATCCACTTAACTATATTTATTAGCATTTGGGTTATTAAAACAGGAACTGCTGCATAATTCTCCCAAAACATCTTCTTAATAGTACACTAATTAATTAAGTATTTCGATCAAAAGCTAAATTAATTCCATAGCTTAGGCCTGCATCCCGTTGTGGAAGACAGCCAATGGATTCCTTCCCTTTTCTCCTTTTAATACGCCAATGGAACCTTCATATGCATCCGTATATAAGTACATAACCCCTCTATAGCCAATCTCAGCAGTGTATTCAGCAATTATTAAGCTCGATGATGAAAGAAATGATCAATCTTGTTCTCGCTTGCTCGCTCTCATTTGCTCTGCTGACTGCTTTTGTGAGCTCTGCTAACTTCACTGAGCTCTTTGAACCTTACTGGGCACCAGATCATATTGTAGCACTCGAAGGCCAGCCTCTCAAGCTGCAACTTGACACCACTTCGGGTATTATTTATCTCCTTAACAAAAGAAATGGGCAGCAGGAAGATTTTACAATTATTATGGATTTAATTTTGTGTAGGATGTGGGTTTGGGTCAAAGAACAAGTACCTGTTTGGCCAAGTCAGCATGGATATAAAGTTGGTTGAAGGTGATTCAGCCGGAACGGTCACTGCCTTTTATGTAAGTTCACCAAATACATTGTTATATTCATTATTATTGTTATTATTATTAGGGTTAATTGTGGATAGACCTCTTATACTATTGCCTAATTGTGAATAGACCCATATTGTGCTTCCATTGGTGAGGGTAAACCCACAATTGTTAATTCTCTTGACTCTTAAAAAGAGTGGAGAAAGTTCATTGACAAGGTCTATCACATTTGGTAAAATACACGGGGTCTATCCGCAATTGGGGTGATAGGTAGTGGGGTCTATTCGCAATTAACCTTATTACAATTACTTAACATGATGAATTGTTTTCATCATGATATGTCCTAGATACATATATAATATAGTTTCATATATACTAGAAAAGTATAAGTATTGTAATGAATTTAATTAAAAAATAAGTCATTTAACGCTACCAGCTTAAATTCGAAGTCTCGTGTGCTTAGGATAGTCATTAAGATGTGACTCGAATCTGAAACATTTCGGATGCATTTGCTAATTAGAAGTAGTTAATTGTCAGTTACACACATATTTGCAACATGACTCGTGTTGTTGGAACCCTAGGAATAGCATGAGCAACTGCCAACAGCTCTTTGGAATTGTAACAAAAAAAAATACTTGCAGATGTCATACTGAAGGCCCAAGCCGTCAACGAGCTCGACTTCGAGTTCCTCGGCAACGTCTCGGCGAGCCCTACCTCCTCCAAACAAACATCTACATCAACGCACGGGAAACCGGGGAGATACGCAACACCCTCTGGTTCGACCCCGCCAGCTGCCTCCACACCTACGCCCTCCTCTGGACCCGCAACCCACCTCCGTTTCCTCGTGGACAACATCCCCATCCGCATCCTCGCCCGGAGAGACCCGAACCCGTACCCTATCAGCCAGCCCATGAAAATATACGCGTCGGTGTGGAACGCGGACGACTGGGCGACGCAAGGCGGGAGGGTGAAGACGGACTGGAGCCACGCGCCGTTCATCGCGGAGGTTCGGGGGTTTGGGGTTGATGGGTGTAATGTGGTGGAGGAGGAGTGTGAGGAGAAGGAGTTTTGGTGGGATGGGGAGGGGAAGACGGGTTTGAGCGCGCATGAGAGGAGGCAGATGAAGTGGGTGAGGAAAAGGCATTTGGTGTATGATTATTGTGAGGATTTGGGGAGGTTTAGCACTGTGCCGGTTGAGTGTTCAGCTTGATGCAACTTAATTTGTAATTAAGGGGTGTGCATGGATTGATAGATCTAGATCTAGATCTAATCCATAAAACCATGATTAATTCAAAGAGAATAAACACAATAATGAGCGGAACCAATACCTGAATCCATATTGATTTTAGCACGGATCTTAGTAGGGTTGATCCTCTAATATGAAAGGTTTCTCTTGAATATCTCTTTAGATGGAGATTAGAGAATAGAGAACGTAACATTTAGATTAGGCACCATAACCCTTTTATATAGATTTATAATTTTCTAATTTAGCCCCTCATAAAATTAGAATTGCAGTCCGGTATCTGCATAATTAGCCCATGATTTATTTAAGGGAAAAATGCTTCCAACCCCAAAACAAAATAAAACATGCTCCCCCCTCCCAAGACTTTTTCAACGGGTGTTTTGCCCCCAAAAGTAAACTTTATGTTCTCTGAGCCCCAAAAACACAAAACCCAAGAGATTTAAATTCGTGAAGACCATAATACCCTCCATGGCCACCTCCTCCTTCCTCTCCAAACCCAGCGACTGCAACCTCATCTCCTCCTCCTCCTTCCATGGCGTCAAGCTCTCCTCCGCCTTCAAAACCCAATCTTTTGCCTTCCCATCATCGTCATCCTCCGCCCCCCAAATCTCCGCCTCTTACGACCTCTCCTCCCTCTGCTTCCGCCCCATCAAAAAATTCATCGTCTCCCTCCAGACCGCGAGATGATCCGCTGCGCTACATGACGGGCGACATGACACCTACCACCCGCACCGTCGTCGTTAATCGACGGCGGCGATGCCGGATGCGCCAGCCTCTCCTGCGCCTACTGAGCTCTGCAAAGAACCTGACATCGAACGTACACCACTCATTCGAGCAGTCGCGTCCCCCCGATGGCTGGCGGCATGGCTCGACGGCCAGCGTCTTTTTCCTGGCTATGGTCGTCCCACTAGCTCACCCACCTTCTCCTCGATGAGATCGAGGTCATGCTAGGGGGGCGACGAGCAGGAGTATTGAGCATCGTGCAACTAGCAACGCCACAACCCTCTTCACCTCCACCATCATGAAGCAAGCTGCTGATACGGCCAGAGGGGGGTGGTGAAGCCGTTCAACATGGTGGCGGCGGAGGATTTGATATAGAACAGAGGGTCGGGAGGGAGGGGTCCGCTGACGAACTGGGCGTTTGGTGTCATGCATGGATCTCAAACGTGATGGAGCCAAGCGTCGTGTGAGCTTCTGGTGGCATGATGGGACTTTTGGGCGGGCACTGGGGTAAGAGGCTGAGGAGCGGTTTTTTTTGGGGATGATTGACACCGGTCCGGGATGATAGCGCTCGATATTGTAGTTACGATTATTAATGTTGACGCAGTTGAATTATTAAGGTTACAGGTTAGTTGTTAAGGTTACGGTTTGGTTGTTAATTTTATAGTTTGGTTATTAAGGTTACCAGTTGTTGTCAAGGTTATGAGTGGTTGTTAAGGTACAGGTTGACTCAAAATTAAGTTACAGGCCCGAACCTTAACAACTAACGCGTATAGGTTAAGTGTCATAAACAACATAATACAATTGAGAACTAAAAAAATAAAAACGAATATATATAAAAATATTGTTTGGAATTCAAAATTCACAAACCAAAGCATAACTTCACACCAAAGCGTAACATTCACTAACTATACGCTTATCCTTAACACAAACGGCCATAAAGATAAAACCACACAGTAGACCTTCACAAAATGTGTTAAGCATCACAATCCAACGCTTATCCTTAAACAATAAACGCGTATCTAACAACCAACTCGTAACCTTTAACAATCAACCTGTAACCTTAACAAACGCAAAGCGTAACCTTCAGCAACCAACCCTTACCCTTAAACAACGAATATTTTCTAACAAATAGACTTTTAGATTGTTCATCGCCCACGCTTCGCCAACATACAGGAGAACCCGAAACGTGAACAAGCGCCGGACGTAAGTTAGATAAGAAGAATAATAAAGATAACATTTCTTCCTTAACCAATACTCGCG